TAGATACTCTTTTTTGGCGCGGCGTGTTGGTTATATTTATCGGTGTGTGGATGCTTTCTAGAAAATTCAGATTACGTAACAATACAAAGCTACATTTAAGCGTTTACGTACACACATATATTGTTGATTCTTACTTTCGAGAATCTTCTACAATGGAGAATAGGCGGGAATTTCACAATACATATTTAACAGTATAAGCTATGTATGTTTCTAAATATAAATCTAATCTAAACAAACGTTGATATCAAAATAAATATATAATAATAAATCCGTCACAATTCTAAACATATTTATGGTGATTTCATTCTTTTTGGGGTTTACGATTTTTAAACGTATTAAATTTTACAGCTTACTGAATAAACTGTTCCTGTGTGATGGTTTATTTATTTTTGAACTTGACAAGATTTAATCATATTAGAATATGGTTGCAGCTACTTGTATACGAAATATCCCGAGAATACTTAAACTTAGTGATTTTAAGAAGCGATTATGGTTGTTCTTATCATAGTTTATACAACTGACTGTAAAAATATAAAATATAAGTTTTTATATATGTAAATATTATATATGTGATACGTTGAACTATAATCAAACGATTTAATTATTTTGGGCAAGAACATCAAAACCTATTATAAACCACTAGAAATCTACTTTATATATTAACTGAGTTTAATATTCAATTAGTGGTTAATCTTAATAAATGCTTTAATGTTTGAGGTATTAGTTGCATGAAACATTTTATTGCGTTCTACAGATATATTTTTGTTAAATATTATAAAGAAGTGTTGATTTTTTTACTCAATGTGATAAGTGGGAAGACGTTAGAGTTAGACTGTTTTTAAAGCGCAACAAATATAATATTCGAAGCGGATTGTGTATATTATTTTTAGTTGCTACACATTTTAAAGTTTTAAGTTATAATTGACATTTGATTTTTAGAATATTGTCTCATAATTATACTTTTCTTTTGTGTCCAGATTGCTTGTTGTACAAGGTTGGAAAACCAGTTTTTCAACGATTTTCTAATTCTACGTGGGGCTGCTGGATGAAAGATGCTGCACCATCAAATGTTGAACAAGCAAATAAATACTGGTTAACGTTACAGAATAAAAAGAACACTTTGTATGAGTTCACAAACAAAGATTTTTTCCGCAACAACAGCTACACAAAATCGTACACACTTCCTTATGCACTCACAGGTAATAATCACGTAGTTTTTAACGGTTCTTTTTACTACAACCGAGAGGGAACAAACAGCTTAGTCAGGTTTAATTTATTAACAGCGACCAACTCAACAGTTCAAATCCCTCACGCTGCTTACAAGGATGGTCATTACCTCTATTCTTCACAGCACAGTTACATGGATCTAGCTGCTGATGAAAATGGAATGTGGATCATTTTTGCAGGAAATAATACCAAAAATACTCTAGTTCTTAAGTACCATCCATACACGCTTCAGACAGAAAAAATGTGGAACCTTACTCTAGACCATCGTGGGATTGGCGAGACCTTTATTGCATGTGGCGTTCTATATGCTATCAGTAGTGTTACCGCTCTCAAAACACGAATTTCCTATGCCTACGACTTGTACTGCAACAAAACCCTCGACATAAATTTGGACTTTATCAACCCTTTCGGAAGAACCACAATGGTCAGCTACAACGCCAAGGAAGAAGTAATCTATACATGGGATAGAGGAAACCAGCTACTCTATCCAGTGAGATTCGCTACCACGAACATGGCCAAATCTGATCTCAAAAGAAACAAAAAATATTCAAGAACCTAAGTTATTATAATTACGTTATCTAAAAAACACGTTAATAAAATGGACATTGAATGAAAACACTTTTAAAAATTAAACTGACAATATTAAAATAGTTCAGGGATATTTCATCTTTTTTCATTACAGTTTATGGTTTTATACAGTTATTGAAGTTATTCCTTTAATATGAATTGATTTAATGAAATAATTTCTACGAATATCAATTGAAGCATGATCAAGTCTAACAGCAAATTCCGTAGTTTATGATATTGTTCCTTCACATGTAGATATTATAAAGCAAGCTGGATTATATTTCAAGGAAAGAATAGCTGTAATGAAAATTTGAATGTCTTTAATTCTGTAAATCTCGTGCCTTTAAAGTACCTAAACATTATAACTGAAGAAACAGATCTAAAATACAAAACTCTAGATATACAATATTATTGAATTATCATATCAAAATAAACTGATAATGGTAACCTGTAGCATCACAAATGTTCTCGATATGTTGCTCACCAATCAGGTTTGTAGTTGGTGAGTAATGCATAAAACGTTTGTGATGTTACAGCTCAACACTTTGCGTGTAGTTTCATGTGAAGTGCATTTAGTAACTTTTATAAAACGATTACTCTTTTCTTATTTTACGGTTTAACTTATCTTATTGCCATCCTTTTAATTATTAAAGTGTAGTATGCATTTTTTGGTACAGATGTATTTTTTTTTTACTAAAATGTTGACACAGAGCTAGAAAATGTTGACTGATTTTCAACATAACAACAACAACAACAAAAAACACTATAATATCGTATTGCTTCGTCTGGCGGTTTCATCAAGTACACAATATTCAAGAAAATTGTGTCCCTACCTCTAATTCTTCAAGTCAAATAGTGGGCTATAATATGATAAAACTTCTCCAATGTGTTACAGCGTTGGTTTCTGTTTGACGTAATTGATTAAAGATAAGTATTCTGGAAGCACATTTAATCGTGAAATATGTGTTAAGGGATTTCTTACCGTTTCTTGTATTGGTGTTTATGAATGATATAATAAAAGTATTGTAACATCAAAATATTTGTACATGTATTCGTGACATTTAAGAAAATGACTTATGAGACTACAGGCCCTGTCTGTCATGAAGTTTCTGTTTTACTGTCAAGCTTCTGACAGTATTGCAGGTTTCTTCTTCTAATGATATGATGGAGCGTTTTCTTTTAATCAAGACTTTTTCTGCTACAGCTGACGTTATTACACCCGACTTATAATAAAAAGAAAGAAAATATATGTCTGATAAAATGTTGACAGGTGTTTTTTCAATACTGTTTCCATTTCTCTTCACATTATAAAACCTTTTGCGAAAAAAAAAGTCATAGATTTGTGAGGAAGATGTTTTTAAATCAAATGTAATCAGTTTGACAAAAAAACTACGTATTTTGTAGTGTTCAGTCGTTTACTAGTATGTTTGTTTATATCGCCTCTGAGGTTAATTATTTCTATTGTTTTTGGTAAGTTCATTGAACAAAGAAACAATATAAGAGTGGGATAAAACAAGCTAAGAACAACGGTATTATATTTGTAAAACGTATAGTCATCATAAATTAATATTTCACAAATCTTTAAATTAACTGAAGCTAAAATTACTTTCTGCTGATCCATAAAATTTAGTTATCTAATAGAAAAGAAAGCAATGACACTTTATTAAAATGACTAAATATGCATGTTATATTTTTCTCGATGTGTTTATAATTTAGACATAAAAACATTCGATTTTCCCCACTCTCAACTACCTTATATTGTAAGTACATTTTTGTTCGATTTAGTGGTAATCGAATTATTATTATTTTAAATGTGAGCATCATATGCGCCAATATATAGTCACACGTCTCTACGTACATAACTATTTAGTTACACACATATATCATATGTACATATTTACACACGTGCATGCAATCGATTGATAAACACAGAGACTAAACTTACAACCAGATGTCAGTTAGAGTACCCTTTTCCATATTGGTAAACATTAATAGTTAGTATACAATGAGAAATAATAACATTATTATCAATAATTAAGATAAAGTTATAGAAGATAATCAGCTTGTTTGTTGTTCAGCATAAAGCTACACAATGGGCTGTCTGTCTTGTGCGCACCGCGGGTATCGAATCTCGGTTTTAGCAGAAGGTAATCAGAAGGATAAAAGTTATCAAGCAATAAAGTTATAGAACAGTTTTTACGATGGAGCATTAATAAGAAAGTGTAATTTAAAATATCAAAGATTTTTCAGTAACTGCGTAATGTTGTAAAATATAAGAAAATAAACGTTTCCATGGTGTAACATTTTAATTCTCTGTAATCAAGACTTTAAATAACAAATAGAAAACACTTTAGCAATTAAAGTTCACGTCCTCAAATATGACCCAAAACTTTGTGACGAAAATCATAAATAGACGCTCTCTTAGAAATTGTTTATTAAAAACTATATTGAAAAAGTTGAATTATTATTATTTAGGTATCGAATAGGGTCTCCAAAACCAGAATGTATGTAATGTATTGCCTATTAAAACGTTGGCTATCACCAGGCTACAACGACGACGGTGCCCTCTGGCTGAACATAAAACACAAAAATCTATTACTGTTAAATGTCAGCAACTTTTCAAGGAAATGTTATTTCTTGGGCTTTGATTTAGCTGCAGGTTAAAAGTGGTTATTATGGCATACAACATAAAAAACTTGCGTTTTTGAAAAATGGAGAGTTGAAGGAGAGAAAGTCAAGCTTATTCTTTTTTCTCCCTTGCGGTAGATTAGTTTGAAGGATTTTGTTTGACGTGTTAAGTCCTATCGATTTTATGAGGAAGTTTTTCCTATAACTGTCGAAGATGTATCTTTACTTAAGGGCATTGAGGTAAAATATATCTATTTAATCTTCCGCTACTTGTCGCGAGTTATTTACTCGTGAATGCTTCAAGTTCACTCACTTGTTGTTTGAAATTCGTTCAGACAATAAATGCAGAATAACATACAACAGCTTACTGATTATTGCGTTATTTAACAGGGAAATAATTTGTCTGAGAAAAAGTTTTACAGAAAAATATAGCTCGCACATGTTCCCTTTGTATCACAGTTTGGCACAGCTGTTTGGAAGACCCCTTTTTTGGAATGAATAAAACAAACACAAAATATGTTACATCAGTAATTCGGTGATCATTCGCTAAACGCTTGCAATAAAATGGCGCTATATACAGACCTTAAAAATCTTCAATATCTTTAAAGATCGATCCTTTTCTATATTTCTTCCACGTTTGTGAACAACTTCGACTTTGCATCCGATGTCCTTCACTGAATAAAGTTTTAAAATTCGTGTGCAGTCTCGCTCACAGCAAGAAAATGCAATTTGATAAATTCTCAATTTGAAAATGCAGTACTCAAGATTCGGCGATCGACTTGTCCAGAAAATGTCACATCTTATCCAAAAAGCTTTCTAGTATTCCTAGGAAAATACCGAGATTGTTTTAACACCGTTACTGCTCTTGGAACATATTTTCAAACATTTATTATAGTGCGTCATATGACTAGCTTTTTTAATTAACTAACTGGTATATTGTACTTACTTTATTTTATTTACATCCATCGAATAAAAAGTACAAATTATATTGATATATTTTTAATTGGAGTATCAACTCTGCAAACCAAGATTATAGATATTTATCTAAGTTCATCTCAAATTAAAATAATCTCACGCGCTCTAGTTTTTTTTGGAGGTTTTGGCCCTAGATGTTGTTGAATATTTTCACATAAGTACATTAGTTATAAAAATCGGTTGAAAGCAAAATATTTTTCACAATATATACATTGATATTGGATTTTGGTCTTTTGCTTATTAAATTTAACACGAACAGTTACTGTAGCGAGTTTGGTTATCCTGAAAACTGCTCACAACTGAATAGACAATAACTTAGACAAACTTTTACATAAATCATAAAAAATGTTTGTTTTTTCCAAAAATGCATTTTGTCTAAAACTGCTTTTGCAATAGTTTCGATATCCGCGGTGGGCAGAGCACAGATAAGTGATTCTGTAACTATTTTCTTAACAATAAACAAATACATCCAGACAACTATTTGGTGTTGCTATAGTATTCAGGTGTACTGATCTTCAAACAGGTTAGTATGATGTATCACAACAACGAGAGAATGTTCAAAATATTTGCTTGCAAAAGAATAAAATGAGCTCTAACAGCAAGGTAAAGACTAAACACTTTTGCAAACAAACAAATCATTATTTCACACACATCTGAGATAAGCTGGGAATTTACTATGTTAATGGTAGGCTTCAGAGCTCTAGTGTAACTTTTGTGGCTACTGAAATTAGGGGACACGTAAAAGGTACCTAAGTTATTGATAGTTTGTAACCTATATATTCAAGGGCAGATAAGATTCCCAATTCGTACTATATTCTACAAGTTTTCCATCACTCCTTCAATTAGGTATGACTTATACTCCAGTGGATTACTGACACAGAAACATGACCAAGCAAGCATAAGCTGTAAGACATAACAACTTTAGTATGTAACTTTAGCCCAAGGCTATTAATATCCTATACACGAGAATATGAACTATCTGTAGAACATTTGCACGAGAAATTTAGAAGATTTACAAGAATAAATATGTATATTATTTTTGATATAGAAAAGTAAAATTTAGCAGCACTCAACTGCTACATTGTAAAATACTAATTTAATAAAAAAAAACTGCTTATTTAACATTTTTTAATCTCAAATTGCTGACTTTTTTTATATTCACCATCTAAAGCTTAGAATAAACTTTTATCTTTTTTTTATTATTTTACTAAATGTTAAGTCATACAAGATAATAGCTAAAAATAAAACGTTATGTAGGTATGTGGTGGACTTATGACTTTTCTCCCATGTCAGTCATGTTCGAAACTTCATGTTCTTAGAACTCAAAAAAAAAGATTACAAATATCTGTATAACGGAAAGTACGAAGAAAGTGCCTTGAAATGAAATAACGTTGGTTAATAATTGTGTGGAATCGTAGACGAAAAAACTGGTGACGTTAACATGGATAATTATGCTAAAATAACTTCCTAATAACTATAATACATAAACATGTGGTATAATAATCAAACAGATTAAAATACGCACTACATAAAACAGTTAGATACCAATTATAATTGATAATGCAAAAGCCAATTTCAATCACTTTCCTCAATTCATTTGCATACAGCCCCCAGTGGCACAGCGGCATGTCTGCGGACTTACAACGCTACAAACTGGGTTTTGATATTGTGTAGCTTTGTGCTTAATTACAAACAAACAAATCATTTGTATGCAAATTAGGCATCTGATGATTCGTCATGTGATCTGACATACATGTGAGTGGTCGTTCAGCCTTTGATCGTAAATGAACATTTGGTATAGATTGCTTTACCTTGGCAGTTAATGATATTTCACTTCAATATGGGGTATGGAAAAGCTTGGCACCGCCATTAAATACTTTAATCAGAGTGTTGATAAGGTCCTGAGTATCCTCGACCACTCCACTGAAGGAGATGATTTCAAGGTATTTTTCATGTCTGAGAAACGTCATACTGTTTTTCAAGGAATAGCATGAAGACCACTCATTCAGCTACTTGACTGGTATGTCCTCTTATGAAGTAACATGAATATCCGTTTCATTCTTCACCTGCTTGAGGTATGTCTTGGTTGAACGGAAACATTGTGTACAAGTGACTTGTGTCGACTTTTCTAGAAAGAGGTTCTTCTTG